TGAGGTGGTAAATAAATCCCCAAAATCAATAGTTCTGTACGATTTCGACATTGGATGCTGACCACATTAGTTTTAATAGATTCACCTAGCTGAAGGTGCTCGGTCGTGCATTCGCACTCGATCACGAATGGGGACGCCGTGCTCAACATCCCCTGCAATCGTTAGCCTGTTGCGATCAGTCCATCTTCAATACATTGATAACCTGTCAAATATATCCTCGAACCTCCTCACCTCTGACTTTTGATTTCACTATGTAGGTACAAATTATACTAGAGGGTGTTACTGGTTACAGTGCTGTGAAACTCCAAATACCTGTTGCATCTTCAGTAGTCGCCACAAATAAACGCTTTCTTCAACGTTGTGTCTTCTGTGTAGTGTAAATAAACCAAGATTGCTTGGAGTGAAACCAGTGAATATCATGGTTGATGGAGGGCTTTTCGATGATTCACAGAGATCCTTTAGGAACTACAAACATTGTTGACCTCCTCTACTACATAACATTATCTGAGATATAGTGTCAGACAGAACAGTACCTTGTTCTTTCAAGCTTACTCGGCACATTTTTATGCTGGGGTTATCATGTGAAATGGTCTCAGAGGATTTGGTCGATCCAGAAACAACCCATTCGTATAACGTATGCTATTATGACCAATCAAGTGTGACATCTGTCTCACTATTGACTGAAGCGAAAATCGTTTCGCTTAGTTTTACACTAGTAATAAAATTAGCGTGGGTGTATATTATCATGAGGTTACATAGATATTTCAGTCAACACAACTCTTCTATTCTGAGTATACGTCCACGGAAATACAAGAAACAAAAAAAACAACAACAGAAAAACCATATTCCGTGTGTCAAATCACACTTAAACTGATAGTAAATTGAATCTGTTTACTAGCACAAATTCGTTGGGTCTTGCAGCAACCTGTCAGAACTCAATCCCAGGTGAGAGAAAATTTATTACAATTATTATGAATGGGCATCCATTTGAATTGCAAATAGACAAGGCATTAGAAGTGACGATTCTCTCACAAAAATATTGGATCAAAATGGGCAGACCACGTGCGGTGACAACAACACAAAAAGCTCGTACGGCATGCGGTAATCACTTACGTTTGTTCGGTCAACAACATTGTAAAGTGTCTTTTCGTGATTCGACGTTCACTAGAGTATGTTATATAGCACCACTTGATCCTAATTTACTTGGCTTAGGTTGGTTTGACCAGCTGTATTTAGCTGACATCCCGTTAAGCACCTTATTTCATCTAGTAAAGCGACCCAATGACCCGGAAGCATATTCAAGGGAACTAATGACGTAGATTTCAACCATTTTCCGGCCTGTTTTGGGTCGGTGCTCAGCCATGAAAGCAACACTTCGATTGAAACCTGAGTCTAAACCTGTTTTTCATTCGAATAGACCAGTACCATACACTGCAATATCGAAAGTTGATGAAGAACTTAATCACCTTAAACGTCAAAGAGTTATTACTCCTGTTTCTTATTCCGCCTGGGCAACACCCATTGTTGTTATCAGGAAGGCTAATGGTACAATCCGAATATGTGCAGATTTTTTCACAGGTCTCAACGCAGCCCTAGAATAGCATCACCTGCTGCCAGTCCCAGCAGATTTGTTCAGTATGCTGAACGGTGGAAAGATCTTTGCGAAGTTGGATCTTGCTGATGCCTATATTTAAGTGGAAGTGACTGAAGAAACGAGAAAGCTACTCACCATTAACACACATCATGGCTTGTTCCAGCATAATCGACTACCGTTTGGAATTAAGACCGCCCCATCTATTTTCGAGAAACTAAAGGATACCATTCTATCGGGTATCCCGGGGATCGCAACTTATCTGGATGACATCCTGATTGCTGCCACAACGTCAGAACAGCGACAATAACGCACAACAGCCATGCTGCAACGCGTCAGAGACAACGGATTCCAGCTACGCCCGAATAAATGCCAGTTTTACTTGGAGCCCGTGAAGTATTTGGGTTTCATCTTCAATGCTGCACGTCGCAGACCAGAAACCGAGAACATCCAAGCTATAAAAACCATGCCCACTCCTACCAATATCTCTGCTCTCCGATATTTTCTGGAATTAGTTAGTTACTACTCAGCTTTCGTCCCATCGATGCATGACATACGCGCCCCACTGAATTATCTCCTGGATAAGGATGCTAGCTGGAACTGGACAAAAGTGCGTGAATTCGCCTGTTGCAAGCTGAAGAAAATTATTATCTCGGGACTACTGTTAACGCAATACGATCTGTCCTTGCCAATCATCGTGGTCGCAGACGCTACAGCCTTTGGGCTCGGTGCTGTCATTTCACACCAGTTCCCCGACGCAACAGAGAAAGCCATTATGCATGAATCGCGCACATTAACCCAAGCAGAGAGAAAATACAGCCAAATAGATAGGGAGGTTCTCGCCCTAGTCTTTACAGTGCTTCGCTTTCACAAATTGCTTTACGGTCGGAGATTTACACTCCTAACTGATCACAAGCCCCTCCTTGCAATATTTGGTTCGAAGTCTGGTGTTCTGGCCCACTTTGCAAACCGTCTCCAGCGATGGGTCTTGATCCTTTTGGGTCATGATTTCGACATCCAGTATCGACGCACCCAACACTTTGGTAAGGCAGACGCATTGTCAGGACTCATCAGCGAACACCCTGCGACCGATGAAGATGCGGATATTGCTTCTCTTTCGATGAAAGACCACGCGCATTGCTACCTTACAAGTGCTCCAGTCTCGGAGATACAAATTTTTTTCAGAAACGCCTCCATCATTAGGAAAACGATGGACTACGTCACCAATGGCTAGCCATCAAATAACCTTGACGGTGACATGAAGCAGCTTCACCACCGTCGAGACTTATTATGTGTCGTAAATGGATGCTTGATGTTTGGAGATAGAGTGGTGGTACCGGAATCCCTACGATCGAGAGTGCTGAAGCAATCCTATATTGGTCATCCAGGTATAAAGCGTATGAATCTATCGCCAGAAGCTATGCTTACTGGCCCCTAATGGATCTAGTAAGCAAATGCGTGCAGTGTCAGCAGGCAGCTAAGTGTAGTGCGAGAATACCGCCGCTCCCATGGCCACAGCCTGAGTATCCCTGGTCCAGAATACATGTCGACTTTGCCGGTCAAATTAATGGAACCGTTGTATCTTGGAGTGTGCTTTTTTGTAATGCTGCCCAAGGACAACTCATTGCTGTGTATACACGTTTGATCTTTTTCCCCTTACGATTGCTGCGCTTCTGTCTGCTATGGAATATATTTTTCCCGCTTCCAACTTCGGCTTCTTACTCTAGTTAGCTGGGTCTGGGACGCGTCAGAATAGCTAGCTTATTGGTCTCTGGTTACAAGTATTTGTTCCGTTAGCTGACTAGTGAATTCGAAACGCTTCAGATATAACACAAACTCAACCGAACACACAACATCCGGCTAGTTTAAGTAACGTCCCAAAACTTTTATTTGTGTTAATAACTAATAAGTTGTTTTTATTGTTACATGAACTTTTGGACGTAATAAATATATTGCTATTTTTGGTCCGCCACAATATTAATGGATTGCCCTCTTTCTACGAAAGCGGTCGAATAACTACATACGCTGGGAAAGACGGTCGTACTTATTAGCTATACCCACACTATAGTTACTGATATCTTTTCATCCTCGTGTTTTACTCTTTTTCATTTTCATCTATTTGCTTATTTTCCTCCGAAAGTTGTTTATACTTAAAAAAATTTAAAATAACCAATCAAATGGTTGCCAAATCTTACTACATCTGATTATCACAGCTGCTATAGGACAAGTGCACCAATTGGCATTCAAAAAATCTTAGTCCTTAGTGAAAAGTCAAACTCATTAGCACTAGAAGTAATGATATGAATAGGATAATGCAACTGGACGCAAACACGACCACTGGAACAAGGAGCTTCCTAGTGAAGGCACCCAACCACACTGTTAAAATCTGCTGTTCATTTGGCTAGATGGGATTGGATAACAAAGCCTGAGTAGTGGTCCGATAAAGAGAAAACTAACTTTGGACAAGAATTTCAACTTCAGATTCATCACATCAAAACCCATTCATGTGTATAATTCTGACCGTTTTATTGGATAGCTTGACAGAAACAATAAATCGAACCGAATGTTTCTCAATATGTCTTATTCAGAATGCCAAAGAGAGGTTACAGAGGACTGTGAGACCCAGAACAATTATATGATGGCTTAAATCAGTCATCAACAAAACGTATAATGCAGCGAAGGTCATTATCAAAGAAAGAACGAGGTACATGCTTCATTCAAGACCTAAAAGACATAAAAACGATTGTCACATCCTAATGCGTTTAATAATTTGAGTGTGTGTGGTTACACATATATAGGGAGGAGCAATCGTGATCTGAAAATTAGAGTGGGTGAACATGTATCAAAATGGCTGCAAAACCAAATAGAATCAAATGACCCAATAAGAGTAGACTATAAACATCCATCATCCTCTATTACCAAACATATAATCGAAACAGGTCATAAGACTGATCTTAACTCGTCTTTTGTGGTGTTGTGCAAAAGAGCGTATACAAAGGTTTATAGAAGCCTTAGCCATACGAAAATTCAAACCCATTTTGTGTATTCAAAAGCAGTTTGTTCTCTCCTTAAACCTACCCTGGTAATACACTAAATAGGAATAATATATATTTGTAAAATCTCAGCGAATGAATTTGTAGTGAATCCAACGTTTCGCCTGGCAATCTGGTCCAAGCTTTTTCAAGGAATTATCCTGATAATATCAGTTTATTATTAAGAGTGATTAGGTGTCAAATGGTTTTCACATTATTTTATCATTATTATCCTTGTCTATTCTTACCCCCCATTTCCAGTCTAGTTGACCTTTTATTTTTATAAATAGGTGCTCTTAACAAGTATATGTGTGATCAGATTGTTCGAAATGTATTGCGTTAATATATCACATAGTTCTGATAATCTTCGTCTTCTTATTACATTATCGAAATTATATGATGAACTATTATCCCCATTTACATCCCGTGACTTAATAAGTAGTCGGTTCATGTTAATCCTATGTTGCCCTGTTTATAAGTCTAAAACCCATTTTTCCCTGCAGCATTCTATGTGGACTTTTAGAAAGTGTTATCTCAGGAAAAATACCAATCAAGTTATCACAAAAGAGAGCATAAGAGTGATCCCCACGGACATATTGAGGCCTTACTTTCTTTTAAAAGTTTCTACATGTACGCACAATTTAAATAACCTTTTAAGTACTTCGTGACTATTTATTACTTGAGAATGTTTAGACTACATTACATTGGAACTGATTCTACAGAACTATAATATCACCAAAATTCACTTATTAGGAATCTGTGCAGGTTAACTAATCGATCAAACGGTTGTTTTTCTTTCGGCAGTATGGCACTATCACAATGTTCCTACGTATCCTGGAGACTAATTATCTTTAAGAAAAACATTTGAAGGAGATGAAGATTCAATGAATTACTTTTCTTCGAAGAAATATTTTGATTTCTTTTCAACAGCTAGAAGAAAAGTCATTATTAAAAGTAGAATCACAGTGCTGATAGAGGAAAAATTACAAAGATAAAAAGATATAGTCAAATAAATTTAAGGGTAAGTAGATAAATGTATACATGAACAGAAGGGAGAACCATACTAAGTCTCCTAGGTGATGGATGCTCCTGGTTTACGTTGAATATGTGACACATAGAAATAGGAAAATAGTCATAAGCACATTTTTCATAACACAGCAGTTATTTAGTAGGTCCAATTGAAAAGAGAGCTTATAAAGTACATTTTTGAGGAGTTTGAAACCTGGTATCTGTGTTAAGCATTATATATATATAGTTTGTCACTAGAAGAATTGTCTATTACTATTAGATGGGATCATTAAAATGGACTGATTAGTTATATCTTTATTTGGATCGAACATTTCATTATCCATTAATACTTCTAGTTCCTCATTTAACAAGGTTGGTGAATAATCATAAATAGATGATGAACGCTCTGTACAACTGGTGTTTTTCTCTTTGCAGTCATTAACATGTCTAGATGTTGCTAAAGACTGTCCATGAATAATATCCTGCACAGAATGTGGTAAAGAATCAGAGATCTGTTCCAGCTGGCCTAACAAGGCTGTAGCACGAATTATAGAGTTCTCCAGTGGAATCTTCATGGATAATTCATTCACATGCTAAATTTGTTACAAAAACATTTACGCATTATTAACTGATTGATAATAAAGAAAACCAACATGTTCCATAAAGTAGTACATTAAATGTAATTCTAAATGAACTGTTCATCAAAAAGGCATCGCTTCATATGGAAGATAATGGCTTGCGAGGCTACAACGACTGACTGAATTATATATATATATATATATATATATATATATATATATATATATATATATAAAGGGTTTTTATGCCTGCAATGTTGATGTCAGAATGAAATGGTCGATTTCAGTGCCTGAATTTATAAGCCAAATATATTTTCAATGGGGGCTAGCAGTGAAATTCAGGACTCGAATTTCATCCTATTGGGGACTTAACAGGGCGCACTTAACTACATTCTAGTTGAAATGTTACAACTAACGATTAAATCAAGTACAAAATTTCAAAGATCAGTACCACCTGTTGAAGTGTTTTATTACGGGAACCGCTATATGTTCAACGGATATGTTATACATTATTAACCTGATAAAAATGATTTTCAGAGTCCCGAATACTAATAATATTTAAGAAGTCACTTAAATATTGATGTTCGCAAAATGAGTGGAATTATATATATATATATATATATATATATATATATATATATGTATACTCCGTAAAGTTTTATACTTCTGAGCTGCAATATCTTTACAGTATCGACATGTCGAATGTTTTTTTGAATTACATCAACCTTTTTACCATGTAATAATTTTTGGTGATTTATTTTTATAAATAAAACTAACCTTCAGTATACTGTTTGCATCATATTTTCTATTCATGATATTATCTCTTTGAGACAAAAGTATAGCGGCAGCGAAAAAGATATGGAAATTCTTAGTCCGATAATCTGTCCAAAACGCCTAAAGAAAGCATTACACCAAGATTGATAACAATATTAATACAGAATAGACAGTTATGAACCGGTTTTTCACTTGTCATTAGCAAAAATCACTAGTAAGTATAAGCATATCACGGAAACGTGTGACTTTAATTCAACTTCACATTAATTGGTTGCGAAGTAGTAACCCATGTTATGTTTATCTAACTCGTAATCCTGATTGCATCCTATTGATCAAGTTGGGTTCTGGGCACTGGTCTTCGTGAATGGACACTACGTGCACTATGTTATGATGTTTGGTAGTTGGAAATTGTCGACTGGAAATTATAAACCTAGGTTTCATTCCAAGTTAGAACTAGTCGGCGTAAATTACTAGCAATCTTCAGGGAACTGACATGGCAATTGTTACTAATCAATCACCAATCAACGTAAATATCTCGGTTTTGCTAGATATCAGGCGAAGCCCGAATACTTCAATGGCAACGCCTCAGATTATGAAACTGTGTGATCCAGACTTGAATTTCACATAGGACACCAGTTCAGGATTGCCGATACTTCTTGTTAACAAGTGTCAACTAGCGCAAAACAATGCTATAGTAGGTTTGAAGATTCACAGGGGAGTGCAAAATCTTTAGAAACAATGAGAGCTGACTAGATCACACAGATTGAGAAGTTATTGGACCCATAAATCACTATCATATACCTTGTCGTTCCAGATTTACCATGAATTAATTTCTTATTACTCCGATTTATAAGCAAACAGTGTAATTATCTAACTGTGTTGCTGTATCGTCAGGTATATTGTGTAGATTCTGAGTCATGACAGAATGAATTACAATAGAGGACTGATCAGCATCCTATATACGTCATCTGATTGGACACCAGGTTAGGAGCTCAAAGAGCAGTAAGCTTTAAGGTCTGGGTTGTTGTTCATTGGTCGATGTCTAAACTGGTAAAAAGGTCACCGATCCTACTGGCAATATAAGCGAAATAATTGATAGTCGGACTAGAGAGGAAGAGAGAGAGAGAGAGGATACAACCGCTCTTTTGTAATTACAACTTGGTCACACGAGATGGCAACATAAATCAACCACCTACTTGCTTGTTTTATTCTGTTATGCCAGAAATATCTTCAGGGTTTTCCTTATGTTACTAATTTGTTCGTTTGATTTCCTTTTTTTCGGTTCTCTGCAGCCATTGATAGACTTATATTTTTATGTTTTAATTGATTTCCACTATCTGTATTAATATGAAGTATGGGTGAGATAAACGAACGCAAAATTTTCTTAAAATCCTACGACGTTTAGCATGTCAGACTACATGAATATAGCCTAAAAATTACAAACATATGAGGATATAAAGAGAAGTAACAAATAACTGACAAGTAATTGTAGGTGGCTAATCCCGCCTGTAGCTCTCACAGGGCTACTGAAGGTCCCAGGTCCGGGCAAAGGAGGAGGGTTGGGCATGGGGTCGGCAACCCTATCCCGTAGAAAAAAACTTTGCCAGAAAAAAAATACTAACCAGATTGTAAGTGGTTATTCGCCAATAAAAATATATTTCAAAATATTGAGTGAGGTAAATAAACACCTTTTAGTAAATAATATAATCACTAATAACAAATGAAGAGTTAGAGAAATAGTGAAAAGTTTTCTCAACTATTAGTGTGTAACTTTGGTAAACACAGGAAAAATAATCAGTTTAGTAAGTTAACAAAAAAGAAACAAACAACTTGGACATTTATTTGAAGAAACTATTGATTCAAAAAATTGAAACAATTATTAGCATATGATTAATTTAACATACCTCCCATAAAGTCATAGTATCTTTGTATGAGAACTCTCGTTTGAAATGAATTAACAACCAGCGGAAGCAAAATGGCATTTCCTTGGCGCTTTTCGATTCTGTAAACATTTATTGTAGAATTTTTAGTAAAATAACATTCATAAGATGGAAAATGGTTATCAGTTTACGTAAATGAACAAAACCAAAGTACATAAAGAATACAAATTTTTACGTGATATCAAATGATAGTATCCTTCCGAGCATCTTCAGTGTAAGTTTTCTATCAACTAGATGAAAATTTGTAATTTTACAATTGCTTAAAATGAGATTTAATTTAACAACTACAAGTGAATTACATCGAGGAAGCCATATGCTTATAAAACTGCATAAACTATGCCAAGTTTATTATTCATGCAATGTCAGCTAATATATAATAAAGTCAGTAGAAAATTGTTAACTAACACTACAATGCGTCATCATAATGATTTCTGCACAGATACTGTTGGAAAAGTCTATTATTCATTAGTCAGTAAGCTTAATGATAGACAAGAAAGAATTAACAGATGCCATTGAAATCATGGACCGATCATTGATAGATCACCATTGAAAACCTGGTCTAACATTGGTCGGTTCAATTAAATTTAATAATCTCAAACTAACACTCAGAGAAACTCCTAAATAAACTAGCTACATCGAATCCACCGGACATCGAAGCAGTACGCACAGACCTTCCTACAGATTTCATTCCAATAACGAACGAATAAATCAGTATAGCCATCACACAAATAAAGAGACGGAAAGAAGCACAACCTGACAATATACCAGCTGAAGCTCTGAAGTCAGACACAAAAGTAAATGCAAGTATGCTTATCGTCCTATTCAGGAAAATTTGGGAGAAAGAACAGGTGCCAACAGACTGGAAAGAAGAATACCAAGGAAATCAAGATGCCAAAGAAAGATCTGAGCTAATGTGAGAAATACAGAGTTATCACACTCTTATTAGTACCGGGAAGTTTTCAACAGACTGTTGCCAAACCGAATGAAAGACTAAGTAAACGCCAAACTTCGAGATGAACATACCGGATTCTGTGAGGATAGGTCGAGCAAGACCAAATGAAGATACTAAGGATCATCGTTGAACAATTAATTGAATGAAACTCGTAACTATACATCAACTTCCTTGGTTATGAGAAAGCAATTGACATTGTGAATAGGAGAACTTCTTCAACACTATTGAGTACCTGAGAAAATCGTCAACATCATCCAGAATTCATACGACGGACTACAGTGCAAAGCCGTGCTTGGAGGAGAGCCGTCAGATGCATTTCAAGTGAAGACCGCAGTCAGACAAGGCTGCTTACTCTCCAACTTCCTTTTCCTTCTGGTGGTCAACTGGATTATGAAGACTTCCACACCTGAGTGGAAGCACGGAATACAATAGGAAACTTCGACGCACCTAGACAATTTGGACTTCGCAGGTAACCTAATCCTTCTATCACATATACACGAACAAATAGTGTAGCAATAGCCTCTGCATCAGTAGGCCTGAACGTACACAACGGAAAAAGCAACATCATGAAATACAACACGGAGAACACTAACTCATTCGCACTTGATGGAGAAACTCTGGAAGAGGTAGGAACATTCACGTACCTGGGCAGGCAGCACCATCGATGAACAAGGAGGATCTGGTGAAGTCGTAAACAAAAGGAATGGTAAAGTAAGGACGGCATTCCTACAACTGAAGAACGTATGGAATTCAAAGTAACTCTCAACCAACATCAGAGTCAAAATACGAACGTTAAGACAGTTCTACTGTATGGAGCTGAAAATTCGAAGACTACTACAACCAGCATCAAAAAGGTACAAGTATGTATAAACAATGGTCTACGTGAGATACTCAATGTCCGTTGGTCGGATACCATCAGCAAAAGACTACTGTGGGAGAGAACAGACCACCTTCCAACGGAAGAGGAAAAGAGGTTGGGAGTGGATAGGACATACATTACAGAAATCACCAAGCTGCATCACGAAGAAAGCGCTAGGTTGGAATCCTGAAGGGAAACGGAAAAGAGAAAAGCCAAAGAACACACTGCGTCGGTAATCGGAAGCAAACATTAAAAGGATGAATAGCAACTGGAAAGGATTTTCCAGGACAGAGTTTGACAGAGAATTCTGGTGGCCGGCCTATGCTCCTCGATGAGAGGTAACAGGTGTAAGTAAGTACACAACCAAACTGAAAATTAACAGATGTAGTTAATTCCGTAGGCTTCACTTTTGGAAAGAAAGAAAACAGTTCATAGACGATACTTATAATTAAGTAGATCGGGATGACTAATGTTTACCAGGAATTGCTAGTGTATATTGTAACCAGAAAATGAAGGATGTGAAAATTAGAAGTAGGATACTAGGTGAATACGCTACATCAGTTGATGAGGTTTTTATCGACTGAGGTGGTTGGGATAAGACGTATAAAGCATACTTAACCACTGTCTAACAAGACCAGTGATAATAGCTGAAATGAGAGTAGGTTGGTAGAAAGCTATAGGTGGCCAAATCAAAAAGTCCATGAAGCCATTGGTTGTTAAACTGAGGTGTGTTGGTAGATGCAGATAACCTAGTCAAAGTCGACACGATAGTCCCAGTTAGTGGTTAAAAACGTAAGGTGGCATGACTTAGAAGTAATCTCAATGGTACAGTTATATATACTGTGCGTCCTGACTTAGATACAAAGTTTTTTCTTTATTTCAAATTTTTCTATACTACGAATTTACATTTTTCCGAGTCGTATTTTCTATGCTTAATTTCTTTAATTACCACCAATAATGTCACTGCTTATAGTGCTCTAGAATGCAGTTGTGCTGTTGAAGTGTGATAACTTGAACCGATGTACATACATGCCAGCTTTGATGTTGCGTATGACTGATAATTTAGGGATTTTCGATATTCTTATATAATAAAAGAAAAAAATTGTTGTTGTTATTAAGTCATAATAGAAAATCATATGAAACATTATTCTTTCGATATTTCAGGTAGATTTACGAATTATTGGAAAAATTACAGATACCTATCAAAAATGTGATAGCTATGTGAGGGTATAGATTAAGTAGATAATTACAACCTAAAGATAGATACAGGTCGTTTTTTTAAATTTTGGTTGTACATATTATTCTATCTATAACTTAAATTTCCTGGAATATTTTATCTCGATGTTAATAAATTTGCCATCAATTTAATAAAATTTACCAAGATATTCACTGAAAGTTGGATCAACTATTTCAATCAGTGAAAATAATTGATTAAATTGTTCTCTGACGGCATTGAGTTCACCATTGAAATTAGATTCCTAAAATAAACAGAAAAATTCCTAATAGAACATATATATATATATATATATATATATATATATATATATATATATATATATATATATCATAATTTTACCATCACATATTCAATAAGCAAACACTCAACATATTAACAAGATACGAATAAAATGTTCTTGAACAAATATTAGACTATCATCAGGATTTATCTGGAACCAAATGACTATCATTAATATTGCCATGAGGATTAATTCAAGTGGCTCGTGTCGTCTATCTTTCAACAGTACAAATATTCCAATTATATTTATATCATTTAAAGAAACAAGATAATACATTGGAATATATTCAGTTAATAAGTGATGAGTTGGAAAAAGAGCTGTAACAACTGAACTGGTAGTAAACTCTCTTGTTTGGAGATAGGTATCTAGTTATAACTATGAAAAATATTAATATAAAATTTTATTAAATAATTATAATTTGGCCATATATCAAAAAGAAGTTTGTTGTTATATTGTACACTTGATTCGGAGCGCTCCTTACTGAAACAACGTTTATATTACCGAATAACATTATTGTTATTATTATCATTATTATTAACATACAAGAGGGAAAAACAAAACTAGATTTCTTCTATAAATTAAACTAACAAGACTGGAATAGAAGCGAAGTAAGATGACAAGAGAAAACAAATGGTAAATAAATGAAAAGAAAATGAGCGAATATGAAATAATCATTATTTATTCAGTATTGTAATTAATGTGAAAATCAAGAAACTCCTCTTTCAAATGGTTCTAAATTATTTAAAAATACAAAGCTTGGTAGATATCTGTTGCTAATCCATACACAAAACTACTACTAACACTTAATTTACATTACGTCACATTTTTCTGTTTTGAGTAATTTTCTTTATTTTGTCTAGTTTGTAGCCCACTCGAAATTTCCATTAGAATCAGACGAAAACTGAATTTTTCGAAAATTAGCATTTCGGATTTTTTAATTTTCAAGTATAACACTAAATTAGACATTATGAAGCTTACATAATGAATGGCTGAATCTCGAAGACACTCAAAAAATCTATAAATATCCATGCATTTCAGATGTATCTTAGTCAGTTGTGGCGGGAATAAATCTGAGCACTGTTCGGTTGTTTTTGCAATAGTTATATGAAAATTTAAGCTTTTGGATAATGCCATAACACGAGGGTTATCAGAATTATGTGATATATTTGCGTAATGCATTTTGAACAATCACAACTATACTTGTAAAGACATTATATATGAGAAATAAGAGTTGAACTAAACTAAAATCCCCTATGTTTTCAAAAACAATTTGTTCTAACACTTAACCTATCCTGATTTCCATGATTTATTATCCAGCGTCTTTTTTAACATTGTTTTTGTCTAGTCGACCTTTCATTGTTCATATATGATATCTCAACAGTTATGTGTGCGATCAAACTGTTCGAAATGCATTGCGGAAATATATCACATGACTCTGATAATTTTAATCTTCACATCGTATTATCCAAATTTATCAAAAGGACTAATATTTTTCAAATTTTTGGAAATCTTGGGATTTAAAAAATCCACATTTTCCTAATGCTTCTCAGCATATTACTAGGCTAAACATTCAAGAAAGGTGAATGGATACACAAACATTGATATACGTTCGTAATTCTGGACATTTATACGTTGCCCTAAGCTGAAACGATGTAAAGAACGAACACTACTTGAAGTCAATAGATTTCACAGGTAAAATGAGTAATATAATACACTTTTTCAGTTATATATATATATATATATAAAACTTACTAGTCTGTTCATTAAACCAACAAAACACCAAAACGAATCTTCTTCATCTTTAATAACATAAAGTATTAATGCGAGTAAATCATTCATTCCTTGGAAGTAACCTGAAGCACAAACATATACAAAAAACAAATATAATTGAAATAGATGATCATGAGAACAGAATCAAAATCTTTGATAAGAATCAAGATGAGTGTTTTAGATTAATTTTAAAACGGTATCTCTTAGACATATTCAAGGAAAAACTCTGTCTACATTTTCATTATCAATCTACACGATTTTAAATTGTAAGAATGCATTTTTAAAATAATTGAGGATATTTATGATTATTCTCTCCTTTTCATTTCTCATTAGCAAAAAGGTTTCAAGTGATATTTTAAAAATTATTACTAATAAGAATACAAAATGAATTATCATAGCGATTTTCTCAAAACTGTAATCTACTCCATTTCATTGATAATTCGCTTTTGTTTGATTGACGTTAGTCAAGAGATCAGGGGAATGTGACCAAAAAATTAGGTCATTAGAATAAAACCAACTATTAAAAAAAAACTAATCATGTAAATAAACAATCTAGATATTTGTTGATGACTGAATGCAATCGGTTGGAAGTCCTATGTTTCATTAGGAAGACTTATTTCTAATTACAAGTTAACTGATGTTGTTTGAGGATTTGAACTCGCATTGTTTTCTGGTGTCATAATCAATGGCATTACCACTGAAATATTTTGGTTGTGATTGACATTTAGTAATATGGAGATATCTACACCAATCAGACATTGAGTAGAAGTTGTCTAATTCAGTGTTGATAAAATTTGTTCCAACTCATTAACTAATAATTCCGAACTGGCTATCTGCTAATTCACTTTGGTCATTCAACTTCAAACAAAGATGAACAGTGAACTCAAGTCACTTTATTTAGTTGTAAAAGTTTCTCGAGATAAAATCTGATAAATATAAAATAGTGGACAATATTACATTAGTTGATGACTGATTAATATAGACCTAGATAATATATGCAGCAGTCTAATGGTGTCATTTAATGACTTTAAAATTTTGTACATTATCTCTACAACAACTGAATTGGACGTGTGGAGTTTTAAGGAAAACAATGTCGGTAATAGTAAAGTAAACGCTTAAGACAGTTAACTTATTAGGCTACTATTGATATAGATTGGAAAAAAATAACATCTAGTGAGTGGAGGTGTACAGAATTTGACATAATCAGTAAGATCATAGTTTAACATAAGCAAATATGACCTATTTTGCGAAAGTATGATTTGTTAAATTATATTGTACGTTATTTTTTTCACACTTGTTTATCATTCTAAAGTGGACAACCATATTTCGTTTTGTCCTAGGGGTCGAGCTCGAATTAAGAAGAATTGGATGTTAATTTACGCACCGATCATTACTAGAAGATTTGTTGATTCGCTGAAGACCGATGGTGAATGATTTGTGGACAAAATCTTATAGAATAGAGAAACAATAACTGTTCGGACTGTTTTCTTGTAAAATTACTACATTTATAAATGACAGGATTTCATATTTTTTGAATGTTTAAAAAGGTATAAATAAACTTTGCTTAAAAACAATGATTAAAAGTTTAACATTGATGGCTTCAAAGATATATTCTAATATCCTGGAGACGCCGATATATCCATAAGTCCTAATAAGCGATCTCAAATCAACGTAAAATCGATATTTTTCTCAATTAGTCAGTAACTTTGATATAATCAGTTACTAATTAGACAACGTCTGAATTCAAAACAACTAATCACATAATAATAATTCAGTGAATATAAACAGTTAATTTCAAGCTTACCGAAATCCATATTATATATAGTATACGTGATAAGTATATCTGAAAGACGTGTCAAATTCCCATGACTATCATCTGAGTAAAAATCAGTTTTCCGATCAGTACGTGGAACGTCTTTATCTAAGTATGTTGATATGTAACAAAACAAAAAGAATAGGTATTAGTTGTGTCAAGAAAAACAAAGTGTATTGTACACAAAAAATAAACTAAGATAAATGCAGTCAATAAATACCAAAACATAGTTCAAAGAAGAATTGTTCTTAATAATCAATTGAAGTGGTTTTATAAAATTTAAATAAGTTGACAATATACATGTAATAAACTGTATACAAATAAACATCACAAAAACAATAGTGGAATTCAATAAAACTACTCGAGTACAGTTGGAGGATGAAAGTAAAGAAAAGTTGAAGGATATTGTTGACTGGAAATGGAATATTCTGAAATTAACTCAATTGAATAAGAAGCAAATGTCAGAAATCTAAGCCTCGTTAAATACACAAATAAAAACTCTGTCCTAACTCTTAAAGCGAATTCAACACAATAAAGGTCAGATATCTATGGGATGACACATGAAGAATGAAGCATGGAATTAATAGATAATAGCATTGTTTGTATAAAGTATACTGAATCTAATTCTGACATGATATATACTCTAAATGATAAAGGATTACAATGATATTTCCATCAAATTATTTGAAATATCATAGTAGGCATAGATCACGTTACGATGGCAGAACCATGTCTAACCATGCCTATCTTTAAGAAACCAGTTGAGTTAGGATATAGAGTGCTATTGTGCTTTAAATTATTCGGAAATACCAAACAACAAAAGGAAGTTAAATTATCAGAATATATATAGTTGACATGGGGGTGAGAGATAGAAAAACTTGAACTTGGCCAATCTTCTTTTATGGATTATTAATTTATAATTGTAGAACCTGATGAGAAATTATTGAAAAGAATATTCTTCGTTCATATAATTGTGTTTTAAAAGGAAGTTACCTAAAAATCCAACGGTTAGTGAAAAATGTCAAGAGGAAGATACTCTATGAAAGAAAGTAAAGAAGAAAAGAGTGGATATTGAGACCATAGTAAAATGAGAGATTGAACATAATGCATTTGTGCAGAAGGGTTAGGCACGAATTGATGGATTGCGGCGTCCGAGATAAGTAAGCTTTTAATTTGCACTCCGTATGGTCCTTTGTATGACTATGGAAAAGGATTCTAACGGAGTGACGTGACCAGCACTTACGAAATGCCCTTGAATCGAATCGCTAGCTGACTTCCGTGATCCTTTTGAAAGCCACGCGGCGTAATGCTGATAAATTCATTTCTAAAGAGCTAACTTTGTGTTTCAAAAGAGCAAGTAAACTTAAAGATGAACATTGATATGGCCTAAAGCACGAGGTTGTCCTTCATCAGTCACAACGTAGAACTTCGTACGTACGTACATCAGTTCGAGTTGCCATACCACATTAGCACAGAGATGCAGTTGTCCATTCAAATCCCATAGTGGTAGAAGTAGTAGGAGTATAATCAGAAATCCAAAAGATTAGGGTTTGAAGAAATTATTGAAGGAGTATAGTACATTGAAATAAATTTGGAAAGAGAAAAAGATAAAGACATGAGGAATTCAGAAGATTAGAATTTGGTAGAACACAAAGAGTGGATGCATCTTCGCCATTGCAAACGATTTTGAGCCATGTCATTCAACGTCTCTAACCATCGGTTACTGTCATCTCGCGAATTCCAACCAGGTAGTCTACACCTACCAACATGGCTCAGTCCAATTGTCAGTGACTTCATGGATTTGTGCCACGTTTTGGTCTGGCCACCCCTAGCTTTCTTCCAACCTACTCCTACACCATGAAACATTGCACGTCGGGGCAGTCGGTGGTCGGGCATACGTAACACATGTCCCAGCCATCTCAACTGATGAAGTTTCACTACTTCACCAATCGATTTGCCATCCCTACCTAGTACTCGTTTCCTAACAACTGCATTACTTACCCGGTGGTCCCAGGATATACGAGCAATGCTTCGAAGACACCTATGATCGAACACTAGTAGCCTACGAATATCCTCTACTCTTATTGGCCATGTTTCACTGCCCTTCATACATTCACCAAAATCCGAATGAAGAAGGTAATGTTCAGAATGCTTTCCTCAAGGATCTAGAAGATTTGTTTTTATCTAAAAATTGATCGAGTTTACCACACAACCCTCCAACCAAATGTTTTGGGCCTACTAATATGGTTCAGTCCAATAGTCAATGAGTTTATAGACTGGTTCTACATCTTGATTTGTATATACCTTTCTCCAAACTTAATCTTAAAACAGCCAGCATTGCTCATACAGATAAGTAGGTAGTGAATAGGTATACGTAATTGTTAAAACGTGTTTGCCTGAGTGCCCTGTTTATATATGACGTGATAATGTCCGCCAATTAGAGAGCAGTGAATTATCGATCGGACGAATGACACACGAAACCCGTACGAGCAGTCTAGAGCACTTGGCGGTCCTGCTATCTGCCTAGCCCAGCCAGTTAAGTTCAGAACACCAAAAAGAGCCTCTGCAATATGAATCATTATTCTCAAGCATACTGGGTTTATATATCAAGCAGACTGACCACATCGTACCATAAAAAAGAAAGTAACATTTGTACAAGATTTAGCCAAATGTGGTTATGAATAGGGGGAACAATAATTAATAGACTAGGGATAACTCAGGAATGGTAAATCGTATAGAAATAGTCTATGGGTCAAAATAAAGCTTATAACAAAAGGAACATGAATATGAATAGTTTAGTTACTTAGCAATTATACAATAGGAAATATACACATCATATTGGTCCATAAATAGTTCTCAAAAGCTACCATTCACAATTCACTTCGGGATATAACAGTAATACATGCCTCAAGCAAGTCAGTCAACGAAAATTCTCAACTTCGTCGACCGGTTTAGCATCTTTGTTTAGTAAACTTAAGCTGGGCACTGCACACTACGTTGGTTTATCAAACGCTTGCAATGTTTCGAAGATATCTATTGTCGAATGCTTAAAGACCACCCAAGTTGTCTAAGAGCCGCAAAATAATGCCGCGAGAAAGAATTGGAAGCAATTAGGACCGTTAAGCAGTATACTTGCCCTTTAGTTGATAGGGGGAAATGTCACTTGCACAATATGTGACTTAAGTTGATAAAAGTCTAGTGAGATTTCTAAATTCATACAGACATCGACTAATCAGAGCTGGTGCGACTACAAAGGTCAGTGTATTAGTCATCACACTAAACTACTTCACTCCCCATGACCAGTTTAGGGTTTAAAGAAGATCAGTACTGAGGTAACGTTTTGCATTTAGGAGTGAAACATATCCTAATCAAGCTCAGATTAATAATAAGAGCGTTTAGACTTAAATAAAGCATATATTTGTTATTTCATAATAATGAAAATACATTGTGACAGTTTATGAAATTCACAGGAACTATTCGGACGCACAGACATCTGAGGAATATCATCCTATCGATGGTAATCGAATTAAGTTTTGGTGAATTGGCTTCCAGTTGCTTTCAACTACCCAGTTTCAACGAGATATCATCCCTGTTTTAAGTTAAAATAGTTGATAGATGATCAAGATCTCAGCCTGAATCCTTGCAAATAGTCTTAGATACATTTTTTGCCAGATAACGGACCATCTACATCACATTTATTCGCATGCCCATTAGGACTGTATTATTAAAATGATTAGGAATATAATCAGCACTTGACTGGGCATCTCCGTTACATATGGTTCCCAAAAAGAATGGAGAAATCAGACCATGTGGAGATTATAGAGCCCTTAACAAGCAAACGATAGCAGATAGATACCCAGTGCCACATATTCACGACATCACTACCGAAATGGAAGGTGCTACGATTTTTTCGAAAATTGATCTTGTTCGGGCGTACTACCACATTCCAGTGGCCTCAGAAGACATACCGAAAACGGCTGTAATAACTCCATTTGGTTTATTTGAGTTTTTGCGAATGCCATTTGGGCTAACTAATGCAGCTCAAACCTTTCAGCGATTTATTGATCAGGTTGTTAGAGGTTTGACAGGGGTATACGCATATATTGATGATATATTAGTAGCTAGCGCTACCGTCGAAGAACACCTACAACATCTACGACAGTTATTCACGAAACTTCAAGAACATGGTGTCACTATTAACGTGGAGAAATGTGAATTTGGAAAGAAATCATTGCAATTCCTAGGTCATATGATAAATTCTCGAGGTATCATGCCAGTTCCAGCAGAAGTTGCTGCTATTCGTAATTATCCGTTGCCCGAGTCACACAAAAAGTTACGACGATTCTTGGGACTAATAAACTATTATAGGCGATTTATTCCAAACTGCGCAGCAATACTACAGCCATTAACGGACGCTTTGCGAAGAAATATCCGGACATTCCGTCTATCGACAGAGGCCATACAGGCTTTTGAGAACGCTAAGCGAACACTTCATGAGAAAATGACATTAGTACGACGAAAGAGCGAAGCGCCACTAGCCATCATGACGGACGCATCGAACATAGCAGTAGGAGCTGTACTGCAGCAGTTAGTAAACGGTACATGGGAACCGATTTCATTTTTCTCGAAGAGATTAAATCCTACACAAACGAGGTACAGTACGTTCGGAAGGGAACTATTAGCGATTTACTTGGCAATCAAACATTTCCAACATATGATAGAGGGTACCATTTTCACAGTGCATACAGACCATAAACCCCTCACGAAAGCATTAAACGCCAAGCAGGATAACTATTCGCCGAGGGAAATTCGACAATTATAATTTATTTCCCAATTTACTTCTAGCATACAGTATATTGAAGGTAATAATAACGAAGTGGCAGATGCGTTGTCCAGAACAACGATAAACGCGATTATTACGAATGGAATTGATTATCACGGTCTCGCGAAGTTACAAGAGATAGACATCGAACTAAACAAGCTAAGATTCGATGACACGACGTCATTATTATTCGAAGATATTCAGTTCGGCAACGCGAAAGTAATATGTGACATGTCAACTGGCCGACCTCGCCCATTCATTCCTAAACCATTGCGACGGAAAATATTCGAAAGTATCCATAACCTATCGCACCCGGGAATAAAAGCCACGATGAAATTAATCAGTGAGCGTTTCGTATGGACGAAAATGAATCGCGATATACGAAATTGGACGCAAGCATGCATGAAATGTCAAAAAGCCAAAGTACATCGTCATACTAGTTCGCCAATGGGTTCGTTTTCACAGCCAGACACTCGATTCGAACATATACACATCGATATCGTGGGACCACTGCCAGTTTCGAACGGGTATAACTATATTTTTACATGCATCGATAGATTTACCCGATGACCTGTAGCGGTGCCAATCAAAGACACCTCAGCCGAATCTGTAGCAAAAGCCCTTATCGAAAATTGGATTTCTTACTATGGTATACCGGCAATTATCACGACCGATAGAGGTGCTCAATTCGAAAGTCGACTCTTCCAGCAGCTTACAGAACTCCTCGGAATTAAACGTATACGAACGACATCCTACCATCCAATAGCAAACGGAATGGTTGAACGCCTACATAGGCAGTTGAAAGCATCCCTTACATCTGTCATTGTCGAAAACGATTGGGCTAATAAGCTTCCTTCAGTCATGTTAGGTTTAAGAACAATAATTAAACAGGATATGGGATGTTGTCCAGCCGAGTTGGTATGTGGGACTACTTTACGTTTACCTGGAGAATTTTTCGCTTCAGGTAAAAGTGTTCCGACTGATGTAGCCAACTACGTCCAACACCTGAAGAAACACATGAACGATTTAAAAATAGCACTTCCCAGACTACAACAACGTCGAGTATTCGTACCTCAGCAACTACATAATAGCACGCACGTATTTATCAGAAGAGACAACGTACAACCACCTCTGCAGCCGAACTATGAAGGTCCATTTAAAGTGATTACGAAGACAGATAAGACAGTCACGGTAGAAAAAGCTGGGAAGACAGACGTAATCAGTATCGATCGTGTGAAGCCAGCTTTCATCGATAGCGATTTTCAATCGACAAGCACAAGCCTCTCGAAGACGATCACACCTACGAAACACGAATCTCAGGAGTCAACGACGCTAACGCACCAAAAAGAAGAGACTCCGATAACGACAAGATCTGGTCGCAGAGTAAGATGGCCGCAACGTTATGTCGCTACAATCTTTTACTGATAATTTTCTGCTACTTTGAATATTAATTGTAATTCTTCCTCTTCATTGTATACGTATGGATTATTAAGTTCATGTTATAAGCTATTAAACTCGGTACAGCTTATGTACACCATTGCGCTTATACTTGTAATTTTTTTTCGAAGCGATACCACATTCCTTCTATATCTTACCGTTATTTTGTATAGCCTAACGGACGGGCACGAACTAAATGCACATTAACTTCATTCTAATTTTGTACAAGCCCATATCTACGATTGATTGTAACTACGCTATTCATTTACTGTACTTTATGCAAACACAGACATTTTTTCATATATCTTTGTTTGCAGGGGGGGGAGTTATATAGCAACCATCCTACAATCACTTTCGATTATAGCCAATTTTGGTTAAGCCCTTTTTATAACTTACTTAACAGACATCGTCATTTGGATAGTAACAATTTGCATATTCTTTGAACTGCTATACCACTAGAGCACATGACACTCTAGCCGAAATGTTGACTGCTTAAATATCATTCGATGACTCATACTCCTCCCCATATATGTACGCACACAAATATTAATATCAGCCTTTGTTTTGCTTTGCCGTGCCCTTATTAAATTTGACTATAAATTGCCTATGTAATTGCTTGCTATTTGCTCGCTTGCTCCACGTTCGTTTCCTTCGCTTGTTTGCCTGTTCACGCGCTCGTTCATATTCGCTCAGGTGTTGTTAGCTTCCGAACCTGAGTCATTCGACAATAAACTGTAGTTGCTGCTATCCTTTGTCTTCTGATTTTACGTGCCGTTAAGATTAGAATTATAACGGTTATCGAAGTAAACGGTTAACGAATCGCGGCACTACAAACTCACCGACTCGCTTGAAGCAAAAACCGGTGTCAGGCAAGGTTGCTTACTCTCACCCTTTCTCTTTCTCCTGGTGATCGACTGGATTATGAAGACGTCAACATCTGGAGGAAAGCACGGGATACAGTGGACAGGCAGGATGCAGCTGAACGATTTAGACTTCTCAGATGATCTGGCTCTTCTATCACAAACGCAACAACAAATGCAGGAGAAAACGACCAGTGTAGCAGTAGCCTAAGCAGCAGTAGGTCTCAATATAAACAAAGGGAAAAACAAGACTCTCCGATACAATACAATATGCACCAATCAAATTACACTTGACGGAGAAGCTTTGGAGGATGTGGAAACATTTACATATCTGGGCAGCATCATTGATGAACACGGTGGATCAGATGCAGATGTGAGGGCGAGGATCGGCAAAGCAAGAGCAGCATACTTACAACTGAAAAACATCTGGAGCTCAAAACAATTGTCAACCAACACCAAGGTTAGAATTTTCAATACAAATGTCAAGACAGTTCTACTGTATGGGGCGGAGACATGGAGAACTACGAAAGCCATCATACAGAAGACACAGGTGTTTATTAACAGTTGTCTACGCAAGATACTTCGGATCCGATGGCCAGACACTATCAGCAACATTATACTGTGGGAGACAACAAACCAGATTCCATCCAGTGGAGGAAGAAATCAGGAAGAAGCGCTGGAAGTGGTTTGGGTACACTTTCAGGAAATCACCCAATTGCGTCACAAGACAAGCCCTCACATGGAATTCTGAAGATCAAAGGAGAAGAGGAAGACCAAAGAACACATTACGCCGAGAAATAGAGACAGACATGAGAAGAATGAACAAGAACTGGATAGAACTAGAAAAGAAGGCCCAGGACAGAGTGGGTTGGAGAAAGCTGGTCGGCGGCCTATGCTCCATTGGGAGAAACAGGCGTAAGTAAGTAAGTGAAAAAAGAAATGAACAGTAGTGAAATGTCAAATTTTTGTTAGTTATATTCCGAAAATTCTTATATAATTTGTGATGAATGGTCACTTTTGATTGTTAAGTAATGTAAGGAGACGTCATATGCATAGGATAAATCAAGTGATATCTAAAAATAATTAATTTTCACCAAGGAAAGCGAAACATTTGTTTGCTTGATAAACATTTGTTGGGGATGTCAAATCCCCAGAACTTACTTGGTAAATGGCTTAATCTTGTAGTTTTCTTTTGAAAATTTGAATTTAGCTGTTTTCGCGCCAAAAGCGCTCTTTTTACCTTCACGTCATATTTCCCACCTGTAAACTATCTTAACCGCTATTGGTCCTTTGTTTCTTTGTGTGTGCTATTTACCAATGACGCTCAAGGACAAATTGTTGTTGTATAAATGCGCTTGACTTTTTCCATTATTCGATTGCTTGTACTCGGCTGCTTACGGAATACATATATATTCCCCTACTTGCCTTGGACTTCTTCATCTAGTTAGCGGGGCCTGGGACAACAGATTAGAATAGCTTATCGTGTCATTGTGTCATTGGCTTTCGTTCGTTACCGCGGAATCGATTTAGTTTCAGGCATAACAATTGGCGACGGGGACAAAAGTGAAAAATGACGCTCCCTTCTGTCCGCTTACAGTTGCTCTTTGACCGACATTTGGAGTTCATGGTCAAACTACGTACACAGTTTCTTGATCATCAATGCTTCACATATGCGTCAGAAGTGGATGTATTAATCTCTGAATTGCACACAGAGCTAGCAAATGATCGCAGCCCCCATGATTCCTCAACAAGCCGCAACCTAAACGAAACTGCAGTATCACAAGACATGCCCGGTTGTCCATCACTATCCGTTTCAGCAACATGCTCGGTAGTGGATTCAAACTCCACTATCCTGGAATTAGCAGGTCCTATCAATGACGCTTTCAGCTCTCATCAACACGATGCTATGTTAAAAGCTCATGAAGTGGTCGCACCAATCACCTACGAAGTGCCAGACATCATATCGAGCAGCACACCGAGCGAATCGCATTCTGCAATAGAAATTTTTACCGAATCTAATGCCAAAGATTCCCAAGCTTGTCCAGGAAATTTGTTACATGCATCAAATCCGGAACCTAGCGCAGTTTTGCTGGACACTGTTTTTCATAGTGATCCACAACCTGCCAGTGATGTTTGCAATAAGTCTAATGACTACATTTCTGCAGAATCAAATTCTGACCTCACATCAAGTGTCGATCCTCACCATCCAGTCAATCTTAGCAGGTTCCCTATTGAATGCCAGAAACATGTTATAAATAGAATCGCATTAGTAGAAAATTGGGTATATGAGGATCCAACACTATTTCGTGGGGGAGGAGGAGCTCGGATTTCTTAAAAAGGGGAGGTGTTGGGGATGTCAAATCCCCAGAACTTACTTGGTAAATGGCTTAATCTTGTAGTTTTCTTTTGAAAATTTGAATTTAGCTGTTTTCGCGCCAAAAGCGCTCTTTTTACCTTCACGTCATATTTCCCACCTGTAAACTATCTTAACCGCTATTGGTCCTTTGTTTCTTTGTGTGTGCTATTTACCAATGACGCTCAAGGACAAATTGTTGTTGTATAAATGCGCTTGACTTTTTCCATTATTCGATTGCTTGTACTCGGCTGCTTACGGAATACATATATATTCCCCTACTTGCCTTGGACTTCTTCATCTAGTTAGCGGGGCCTGGGACAACAGATTAGAATAGCTTATCGTGTCATTGTGTCATTGGCTTTCGTTCGTTACCGCGGAATCGATTTAGTTTCAGGCATAACAACATTACAATCGGAAAATGAAGCTATTACGTTCTTCAGATGAACGAAAGAAAATAACGGTAAGGGACTTACCAATGAAACATTTACGATCACGAAACAATGCAAACCTAGCTTCTCGATCAGGGGACATTGACTTCCAAAATGTCTTCAAGATGTGATATTCACGACTGAAAAAATATAGAAACGTAAAACGCTGGAGAATGTGGTTTATTGTATAATGAAGTAAGGATTTATGAGGAATATAGCTATAGGAAAGAAACATTTAGAGTTTAACTCATTGAGTAATAACCATAATTTTAAGACAGAAAAAGAATTAAGGAAATAAGTTATTTGCACTTGTCTATTTTGATTACGAAGCCAGTTAAATGTTAATTCTTGACGCTCTCTAAGTATAAAGGTCAAGTTTAAGTCTTCTGATTGCCATGGCTTCCATATAGGTCACATAGGGAACAATTTTACTCCTAAAATTCAGTTTCACTTGTATGATGAGCTAAGCACAAAACGAAATAGGCTTCGAGTACTTTAATCACTACTGTTATCCGAAAGACAATTGCAGATAGTCATCCATTAGGCGATGCAAATCATTGTGTATTTAAGGAATGTTCTACATACTTTTAGATGAAGGTTTAACTTGGTAATTTCAAATAAACCTATGATAGGGTAGATTGTTAGTGATAAAATAATGACACAGTTCTGATCTCTCAACGAGTAAAAAATTGAATTTCTGACGTTCTATAGCTCAGTATAAGTCGCTTCTTCAGAAAACACAAAAATAGTTGAATAAATAGTACAAAGGAACGAAGCAAAATATTTGACATAACCGAAACAGATCTGATAAAGTTAATGCTGAGTCATTGTGGCCAAGGTGATGTGAGACATGCTGGTGTATTTATGTGTACATTAGTGGGTATTACCAAAAACTTGTCTTGATTCAGTTATTTATTTGTTCTATGAAGAAGCAAATTACACTGAGCTGTGAAACGTCAGATATTCAATTTTCCACACATTTGGATATTGAAAATACATCATTATTGACTAAAGGGTTTTGCATTTTTCAATTATTAATATCCAGGATTCAGTTGACTCGTTTGTTATGTCATATGGGCCTCCTAGAACGGATGTTCCAACAATCCTTGTATTTAAAACGTTATAATATTTTGAAAAAGTGACGACTCTCATGACCCAATAGTTTACTGGGTAACATACGCTGAAGTTTTGTGGTAATGGGTTTCAGATACAAAATCCAATGACAGCGTTCATACCAAAATACTATTGGATTTAGATAGGGAATTGCAGACACGATGAATTACGTTTAGTGTCACCGTATAAAAAAACGATCATCTTGTAAACAGAGAATACTGAAACTAAACAATTAAATGCTGAACACATCTCAACTAGTAATTCATTTTTGTACTGTTTGTTTGAATCTTCCCATTGATGTTAAAAACTGCAATTGATCAGTCTCTTATTGAAATATATGCATCCTGTGCGGGTTCCCTCCATATTGTCTTAAGTTGCAAGCATTATAAGCAGAAGTGGACGGTGGCTAGCATTAGAATACAGGACGCACGTCTTGTCTTATTTGGGACTCGTCAGCTGGATGTGTCTGCATCCTAGAGTTGATGATCACTCTGGAACTTGAGCCCAGTACCATCCGCTTCAACGCCTTCGAGTTATTCACTTAGCTACTGAGTTCAGATAGTCGCTAGCTTGTGCAATGGAGTGAAGTTTAATTTATTTTGTATTGGTTATTTGAATCTTCCCACTGCTGTTTAAGGATGCAATTAACCAGTCTCTTTTTGGTATATGTGGATCCTGTGAGGATTGCCTCGACATTACCATCAAGTCAAAAGCATTTTAAGCAGGGAACAAACGCGTGCCCTGGTCTTCAGTGCTAGCTACTATCTATCTCTGCTTAAATCATATTATAACCAATGGAAAATGTTAGTATCGAAGACAAATGACTGGTTGGACTAATATTAAAGCATATCTAAAAGTTAAACCTTTAAGGAAAGAATATACAAAAGTTTTTGCTTTATGCAAGTTGAGAACTGATGACTTTGATCCTTACAATTTCATGAAGATATTAGCAAGAAGAAATAGATTTCTACTTGAGTAACGCTACAATATGTTACCAATACTATTGAAAGCTATGCATGATTAGTGTTTTAGTATAGTTTATAACACTATAACACATTATTTAGATTTGTTTTGATGACTTACATTGGATTTTCAAATGTTTCCAGTACAAAATTGTCCAAAACAAGTGTACGAGAAACACATCCAATGAGCAAATATTGACTAAAGTGTAAGTGTAACTGCTGTTAATCTATGCATGTTAAAATACCTAATTAGTAAAGTGCCCCCAAATGCCCTGGTACGGCCGAGAGTGGGGAGAGTCCGCTCTCCCTCTCCAAATGCTCTCACATGGCCAGCGAATATATAGCCTCTGTCAGGGAAGTCCTACTAACTGCCTTCTCATGGCATTACTGTTGTTTACGAAATTGAGAGGACGAAAAGCGAATGTCCGGCGCTTTAACTGGGTTGGTGGACAAGGCGAGTCCACCTAGGGGAGTTGGAAAACCCTGATTCCAAACCAGTGGTGCACATGGGCTCCAGTATCCTGAGGGAACAAATGGCGTACGAATCAACCGTTGATCACCGGCTACCATGGGACTGCATCTCCTCACGATGCTCCACTGCCTTGTGGATCAGACCTTCAGGTCAAAGGCACCAGGTGTGGCCCCTTAAGAAAACCACCTGCTTCAGTCTGGGCACCTGGGCAGTATCACAGCCCTCACACAAATCGAATGAGATTTTGTATGGCGCATATGTATCTGGTGCTTTCTTGTACCAATATTTATGTGTTTAAATAAATAAATAAATAAATTAGTAAAGTAGTGATAAATATCTGAGATGGTAAACTATAATGTGGGGATCCTTAGAATCAGAAAAATAATGATTTGAAAAATTAAGGCGTAATTTTAATATTAATAAATAGCTACATAGCCTATACGTTTGGTCTACAATCACCCGATTTTACATTCAATTTACTATACTACTAAATCTGACTGAGTGGTTCGTTTATTTCATTGATGTATATATTTATATTTCAGTTGCTTAATTGGGCTACTAGAGTGGAAATATTTTCAACCACTGTGCATGCAAATAAATGATAACCTAAATTATAGTTATATTTATTCTGACGCATAACATGAGTTGTTGTATAAGTGACCAAGACCTTCAGACTAACGAGAAAATGCATACTGGTCAGTGACCAATAGACACAAAGTGTGGATTTTCTAAGATATTCGTACACTTGTCACGAGAACAGTGGATAAAGACAGACTGTGCGATAGTATTTTACCACAAATTCCGTTAAATCCCTTATCTCTAAAAACCATCGATATTTAACTCTCGTTAAGAGATGATAAATCCACTTTATTTTTTGATAAGATGTCCATGACAAAATACCAAAGCCTGGAAAAAGATGAATAGATTTTATCAGTATATCGTGTTACAGATCTGTACTGATGGATAATCAATGTTGAAACATAGGTAGGGATTCAATCAAAAGAGTTGAATTTGATGGTAATGATAATAAATATTTTGTAAAAAAGGCCTACTTTAAGTTAATATGTAGATCAAAGTCAAAGCATAGATATTACATTAAAACATGACGCATATTCAAAGTTGTCATTGATAGTTTGTATGAATTGTTTCAACAAACTATAATCTTCCCACACGTATCTCATCTCATGACAGGTAAAAAGAAATCAACGTTTGAAAATTTCAAAATAAATAATTAATTACTGTGGGGCAATATATATTGCCTGTTTGATGACCGAATCTTCTTATTAATGATCTTTTCTTGCCATATTTGGTTGACAACGAAACAGAATTTATTATTCATAAATAATGATGTAAATCTTTTTGTCAATAAGTGCATATATTTTAGTCCTACAAGAAATTACTCACTTAAGTTACATAATAAAATACTTTTAAAATTATTTAAAACTAGCAAACCTTTTTTCAGCTTTTAGTCTTTCATTTTCTTCTGCTGTATAAGTCCATTGATAATAACCGAGTAAATACTTCCATACTATTGGTTTTAAATCATTTTCAATACCCTGCATGAAATAATAATAACAATGGTAATTATGCGAAACAAGAAGAAGGAAGATGATGATAAATATACTCTATCAAGTAAAAGAAATAATCATAGTCGCTTTAGTTAATACCCATTTATTGTTAAAAACAGCATTACATAACTAGTCAAGGTGGTTGAGACACGTAATAACTATGTCCAATCTCAGGAAGGATTCAAAAAGCTCGTTTGGCTTTTATCAACTTACGTCACCTATGGCGAAGACGAGATATCCATCTATCAATTAAGCTTCTGTTATGCGATACATTTATTTCAAGCATACTCGGTTTATATACCAGACAGACAGACCGCATCAAATCATAAAATAAAAAATAATATTTGTACAAGATCAAGCCAGATGTGGCTGTGAACGTGGGATACAGTAATCAATGGAATGAACATAATTTGAGAGCAGTAAATCGTACAGTAATAATTCATAGGTCAAAAAGAAGCTTATAATAAGATGAATATAAATACACACAATCCAATCACTCAATAGTTAAACAATAAGAATATATATAGAATAATAGTTCATTAATAGGTCCTGGGAGTTACGCAGCTTATGTCTTCATCAGGATATAACAGTATTGTAACATATTTCCTTCTATAAACTGGTTTATGGTATCAGAGAGACACACTTAGTTTCTTATAACATAATCATTTTTATTAGCTACCTAATTATCTAGAGTCAAAGTAGTATGAACTATGTGGGAATCTATACTTTTGACAAGTTACATCTTTATTCGACTAACTTTTCATGAGCATTTTACAATCAAATAAGATCTAATCTTTTCTTGATATGAATAATCATGATGATAGATAACAACCCTAATCAAGCATACATTGCCATTCATTTTTTAAACCAAAAAAATAAATAAAAAATGAACTTGATTCCATCAGATAGAAAGTTAATACATTTAATCGAAACCAAAAGTTTTTCTTACTATTAACGGAAAGTAAAATATCTTATTCTATCGAAAATAAATTACCGATCATATGATATAATACCATCATTAAATAAGTAGTGACAGTAATATACTTATTAACAATATCAACATAATGGTAAAAGTTAAGAGATAAATTTCGATAAAAATCAATTTTAAGGAGATCATTAAGTAATGATTGGGAAGAGAAATGTTTGAAACTTGGGTAGTTATAGCTTAATCGGTTAGGTTTTATGTTTTTAAACAGTTGTTTTATGGTGCTTTTTAAGCCGTCCTTAATAATAGGTTTGTTTTTGGACTTAATAACTGTTATATCCCGACAAGAATAATGAATAGCAACCGTTGGGATTTATTTATGGACTAATTACTTACTTACGCCTGTTACCCCCAATGGAGCATAGACCGCCGACCAGCATTCTCCAACCACTCTAATACTATACGTATATTCTTAATGCATAGCTACTGAGTAACTAGTTTGTGTATATTCATATCTCTCATATTATGAGCTTTATTTTGACCTACAGACTATTATTATGCGATTTCCCATCGTTATTTCTAGTTTATTAATTACAGTTTCTCTCAATTACAGCCACTTTTTGGCTTGATCTTGCACAAATGTTATTTTCTATTTTATGGTGTGATGTGGTCTGTTACAAAAACATTGAAAATAGGGTGGGGAATTGATATACTAAATAAGCAACAAACCAATAAAAACGTTTTGCCCCTTGTCACAGTAAATAAAGACAGTTCCTGTAGGTATTTTCACCACAAAAATGAAACGAAAATCCGAATTTACAGAATAAATCAAATAAGTGTTATTCTAGGGGATTTAAAGTCTTCAGTAAATATAACTAACTTACGCCGTTGAATATTATTTCACGTAAATTTTCAGGTCGATTTACACGACCTTCTGGATCTAGTGACCTTTTCCATTGGGTCATATTCAGTGGAAGGGAACGCTGAACAGTGGGCATTGGTGGAAGGGAAATAGGATTGGGTCTCTAGAAAAACAAGTAAAATAAAAATAATTTGCAATCACCTTTAACAAGTTTGATATTTGAAAGTCTAGCATTTTAACAAATCAAATCTCATAAATGTAGACTAAGACTTCCTTATTTCGCTTACATTACCATTGTTAATAATAGCAATAATAATAATAATAATAATAATAATAATAATAAATCGTTGAAGCCAATTAGCAGAAAACCTCTCGTAGTGGTATTACATATTTTTCGATAAGTATTTTTACCATGTATGGACGCTATTAGAGTATAATACACTACGCAAAAAATATGATTATTAATCACGTATAAATAGCAACATGTGTATAGCACTATGGTTCACTAGTCTATTGATTCGGCTTTCAACCATTGGATAAAGGATTCTTGTCCTATTTCATCAACCTTAGAATAGTCAAGTTATTTTTCGTGAATGACAAGTATGGGCTTCAGCCCCGTCGCCAAGTTACTACGTTCGAAGAGATTACGAGATCACTTAAATCGGCGAACGGAAAGAAGACTCAGTGACATAATGATGAGATAACTATCCCGATGCGGACCATCCCCGTCGCCAATTGTTATATCTGGTAGCCGCTAATTGTTATGTTGGAATCGTTTGTCACTTGTACTTGTAAAACGAGGAACAACTGCAATTCCCACGATGCGAAAGTAAGGATATAAAGGTTGACACAAGTGAAGACCTATTACCCCCATAAAATGATGACAACCGTAGTCAAAAATATACTTAACTATATGTCGATTTGCACACTCATTTTGATCAATGGTTAGGATGAAATCATATATATGAAAAATAACAAATAAGTGTTATACCGAATAAATTATCATACTGGAAGAACAAAACAAATACTACATTGAGTAATTATGACAGTAATGTTGGACAGAAATCGCAATGAGTAAAAGAATGCAATTTTACTTTTTAATCCCATCGTATCACAAACAGGTAGTTATTTAGTTAAAACACTTAATTCATTATATAGGAATAATATATATTTGTAAAATCTCAGCGAATGAATTTGTAGTAAATCCAACGTTTCGCCTGGCAATCTGGTCCAAGCTTTTTCAAGGAATTATAATCTAACATCAAAATTATCGAATATAAATAGGTACATGGTTCTCCGGGAATAACATTAGGATCACGTCGATTTTTTTTTTAATAAATTTTTTTTGTCCCCCTTAATCAAAAAATTTTCATCCCATTTTCCAATTTTTTTCAATCCGTTTCGTCCAATGAAATTCCTAGTTGTAAATGCGTTATAATTGGTTATGTAATTCTTGAAATTCGTATAAAAGCTCTGTACTTATCGATATAGATAATTTTCTTCACAATATGGACGTCAGTAACGTGCAAATTAGAGGCTCTGTTGTTCCTCACGTAGTCACAGAAACGGAAAATGCATTTCTGAATACATTGTATCTGGTAGCGTTTCCATCACTGGAAGCGTTAAGGAGCGCCATTAGAACTTATGAAAAAGCAACGTACTGCCATTATGCGGTGAGCGATTCTCATTTCCATGGAGATCGGAAGCCGTATATTAAATTTGTATGTTGGAGAAAGAGCTATAAAACACCAAGCGGTTCTTCGCAGCCGATTAGACGGAGGAGGTAATTTGATTAGTGTTATTATATTGTTCATTGAGGACTTCAATGGACACACAATGTCCGGCCTTCATCTTTTGTAAGTTTCTTGAAGGTTATTGTACTGTTGTTCGTGGGAATGTGCATCACAATCACGAGTGCAATTCCCTGAGGCACGACTGTAACACATGGATGCGCCGATTAACGGCGTGCACCTTCTTCGAAATGTCATCACGAGCGTAAACTTTCCTTTCTTAACAATTAACCCATTCATCGTATTCGTAGAGGCTACGATCTGATCTTCAAATGTTCTACCGTCTTATGTTAACAAGAAATGTGGAAAGGTAAATCGAAATATGCTTTACAATGTATTGTAGCTTCCAACGGTATGTGTCATTTATCGAAGCAGCAGACGGGAATTCCTACCAATATTTGAGAAATCAGTTATTGTGCTAAAAGCACAAGTGGTCGAACGCTTTTAGACCAGCTGCAATGCTTCTAGATCAAAGCAATACAAATTTCGTTGAGACGACCCATCGAATTTTAAAGTTGCATAAGCTGAACAGAAAAACACCCGTGTTCAGATCGATATTTAGTGTTCTGCTTCGCACTGGATATTGGATAGAAGCTAGAGTTCAAAAGTACTCCACTGAATGCCGTAGCAGGGCTGTGCTGGGTCGCGAGCCTACTTGTGTCGACGTATGTCTGCTGAACAGCATACCGCTCTACTTAACTATGCTCATCAGTTGCTTAACGATGGATTACCTACTACCATCACAATGCCCGTCGTCCGAAATACCACAGGCACCAACCGTCAACAGAACGTAGATTTGGATGCTACCTTAAATGATGACGAGATTGAAGTAATATCTATGAACTCAGAAGTGTTTACGGACCGAGACAATGAGGAAGACGAACGTGCGCACAATGACCGACTGTGTGATATTTGCCATCTACGTCAGACGCCCAGTAAACTAGCTGATGGAAGTGTTTGGATTTTTTGTCCATGCAACGCTATGTTTCATTCGTTCTGTGCCTACGACCCAACAGAAGTATCACCTGGGTTCAACTGTCCCATGTGCGGCGCTGTCACGGACTCATAGTGGAGTCATCGATCAGGACCTAAGGAGCTGTGTAGAGACCGAGTAAAGGCCCTTTTCAGGGCCACCCACAATTTGATTTAAATTTTGTTTGAATTTCTTGTTTCCATTTTAAGGAGGAGTCTTGAAACCATCAATAATTCATTTCACATTCATATGATTTGGTTACTAGGTACAGTAGAGAAATGTAGTAAGATCAGTTCACTAGTACAACAAGATCATTTCTATTGCTAAGGTCAAGTGAACAGACACTGATCGGTCATCACAATTCCATAGTAATTAAGCTGTAGATTAATAATTATCATCGCTCACTTTATTACCATGCCAACAGCTTTCCAGGTTTTTCAAATTTAAGGTTTCAGTGAACGATTCCGTACAGAAAACAACGTCATATAATGAACATTAATCTGTCAAACAAAAGTATATGCAAAGGTGTGAAAGATCATTCCAATCTCTTTTCACTTAGCCAAGGTAGACGATTGTACTGAGATCAGTTCACTAGTACAACAAGATAATTTGTATTAAGAAGGTCAAGTGAACATACACTGATCATTCATTACAATTCCATAGTAATGAAGATGTAAAATCACTTTTTCTAGATTAATAATAATAAAGTGATTATCGATCACTTTATAATTTTGTCAACAGCGTTCTACTGTTTTACTGTTTGACAGTTTAAGAGTAATTATTTTCCCTTTTGACGGAAAATGTACATACAGTTTTTCATTGTTCGTCCAGTATGTTTAACAAAGGAAACTGTTGGATTTGGAAATATAATTTCAGTCTTCCTAATTAATTAACGTTTACAATGTTATTTACTAATGAAAATAAAAAATTCAGATCATTAATTTGAAAGGCTGTGCACTTAAAAAAACATTGGCTGTTAACATTAGCTGCCAAAAAATATTATGCCCACCTGACAAATACAATTACCGTATTACATGACTGAGTACACTAACATGTATTTTCGGTGATCATTAATAAGTGATCAACTACAAATAATGTACAGGTCAGCATATTTTATGCTTTTAATGGATTTACAAAAAACCTTGATATTGCGTTCATTTTCGACACCCTTTGCAATGCTAAAATGATCCACTTTTTGGTATTAAGAACAACGGTTTGCAAAATAACTGAATTATAAAGATTATTTGCTTTTTTCTCAGACATTATTACTAATTTCAGACAGCGTAAAAGTTGCTTCATTTACCCATCTTTTACGGTTAGCGCGACTTCAGCATGACCCATTCACTTTCGCTTCATCATGATTTATTCATATATTTACACGAATATAACGTTTATTAAATGAGCGAACTATGTGTTAAATTAACTTATGGGAATATTTAAATGAAAATCTGTTCACTAATTGTGTATTAAACATTTGAGACTACCTTTGAAATTCAATAATCACCATTATCAATTATTAATAACAGTTGTCAATTTTTTTTCAAAAATTAACTTTCAATGATCCACAGATTATTACTATTCTTGTCACGATAACTGATAACTTTAGTTGCATTTCTACTTCATAAAAAGAAATTACATTCACTAACAGGAGTATAGCAGGGTAATGAAATGGATTTGTTTTTGTTTTTTTCGAAGTTAAAATTTTTTACAAAACTCAGATGGAACAATGCGAAAATAGTTAATTATTGTAAATAATAATCGAATGTAAAAATGTCAATTCTTACATCCAATAAAAGCACTTTATTCTAGTTCGATTTGAACGAATCAAATTACAAAACTGCACCATTTACAACCAATTAAAAAATTATTACAGGTGACAAAATGTTTGTTCATTGGCACTTGAGCACACACTTTCAAAGACAAATTCACCAATCACCAATTGCTAATTTTTTTTCACATCCTTTAATTTCCAAAAAAGGGTGGTAGGGGATTATACGAGCCGTGATTCTAATGTCAACCGTTCTCCGGGTTCATTGTACACTGAATAGGTCATCCAATCATCGTTAACAATGTCTAAACTAGGTATGTGTATTAGTGTGTAAGAGGTGTGTGATGTGAAATGATAAGTGTTCATATAACATATTATATAGAAAACGTAAGAGGTGAGAGGAGAAATTACATTCACATTAGATATTGTCTCTTATCAGTGAATTTATAAGGAGACATACAATTTGTAATATATGATATGAATCATATCTGTCACAGCATGTATAAAATGAAGATAAATAAACAAAATAAAAATAATAAAAGTGAGATTTTTAAAGAGTGTAAATTTTTAAAAAAATGTATGTCATTTTTAATGTTCCAGTGAATTGTTAAACAAATTACGATAAGACAACT